ACGTTGCGTGTGACAAATGGCAAATTTATTTATTTGTATCAATCATTCATGTTACAAGCCAACAATATCTGTGAATTTATCAACAAGTCATTACTCATACCATGCATGGAATCTTGCAACTTGTCATTCTTGAAATTGAGGATAAATACAAGCGTACACCATTTTTTATTAAGGGTATAGTATACACTGTTTTTGTGACTCTAATTTATAACATTTTCTGGCTCTCACTGGCACCGGCATGATTTCGTACACTCCCCTCAATTGAATTCTTTAATTTAATTGGAGCAAAAAATCCACTGCCTATGTAAACTCATGTACTTACACATTCAACCAACTAATTGTCCATTCATATACATTTTTTTTTATCACAGAGACATTAGCAGCTACAGTGGAAAGCACACATGGTACTTATTTTGTTCCTGCATTTTCCGGTTTATATGCTCCATATTGGCAGAGTGATGCTAGAGGGTATGTGTAATAACTTTTATGATGTGAAGCTACAAGGAGCTACATACAGTGTCACATTCACTACATTCAATTACCCACTATAGACTCCGGTCAGTCAAAATGACTATTTTGAACTGTAGGCATTAATCTGCGATTCAGTCAATGACAGGGAAACAAATCTAGGTAAGGAGAAGCCCCATGACCTCAAAATTTCCCTCACGTCACGAACCACGTGACCGATGCAATGAGGCATTTTTTCTCACTGTTTTAGTGCCCGTTCGGACGTTTTGCCCTGTGTGCGTCCGTGCACCCGTGATCACCTGTATTTCGAACATGCATGGACCGACTTCACTCGTACATAACACATTATATGAGACATATGCACATGCATTTATTTCATGATCCAATTAACGATAGTCGAATAGCGGCCATTTTAAGGCCGAAAATGCATCAAAATCGCACATTTTCACCATTCCGGACCCGGATCTCAGTTATGCATGGACAGATTTTGTTCAAATTTGGTACATACATTAAACATAATAAGACCTTGATGCACATCATTTTTTTGGGGGGATCGGGTTTGAAATGGCTGACTGGTGGCCATTTTTTTGTAAATAATTCAGTTCTGGATCCGTATCTGAGACATGTCTGGATTGATCGAGTTCAAACTTTACGCACACAAGGTACATCATGTCACAAATATGTATGTGCATTTGTTTCATGATCTCATTAACGATAGCCAAATGGCGGCCGCTTTAAGGCCAAAAATGCATTGAAATCGCACATTTTCACCATTCCGGATCTCAGTTATGCATGGACGGTTTTTGTTCAAATTTGGTACATACATTAAACATAATAGGACCTTGATGCACGTCATTTTTTTTTCGGATCAAGTTCGAAATGGCGACTGGCGGCCATTTTGTTTTAAAGAATTCAGTTCTGGATCCGTATCTGAGACATGCCTGGATTGATCGAGTTCAAACTTCACACACACAAGGTACATCGTGTCACAAATAGATATGTGCATTTGTTGCATGATCCGCTGAACAATAGCGGAATGATGGCCATTTTAAGGCCCAAAATGCATCAAAATCACTTATTTTCACAATTCCGGAACCGGATCTCAGTCATGCATGGATGGATTTTGTTCAGATTTAGTACAATGTGTTGTACATATGCAGGTGCATTTCGGATCAGACCACTGAAAGTGTCTGAGATTTTGGTCATGATCTGCTTTGAATGTACAAAATGTATATGTCACTCAAATATGAACTGAACGGGGACGTGTCATTGACAATGACTTGTTTTTCTCTGCATTCGGTGTGGATCGATGAAAACGGTGTGCTTCAGTCTTCAAGATTTGTTTTTCCTGTAGGGGTTTTTGCTCTGGCTTGATGCTTCAATTAGGTGACTGGTAGGGTGAGTCTTTCTTATTTTTTACCCCTGTGTCGCCTTTTTTGTGTGTATATATTTACAACAAAGGTTGTCGTTGGTTCTCTTTGTGTCAGCTTTCAACTGTAATTCAGTTTCCTCATGCATGTATTGTTCATTTTTACCAATGTGTTTTTAGAAATGGATAGGAGAAAGGGTAAACACGCGAGAAGCTCCTCTCCCCCCTGTTTTATCGCTTCAAACATCGAGGTGGTTGTGTAGCAGTTGCAGTAAGGAATTACCAGCTTGAAACCCACATACAAAATGCTATGTGTTTAGACTGTGTTCAGGGTTTTGCCGAAAAAATATTTGTAACAACTGGGATTCCGAGGCCTGCGTAGCATTCCAGGGCTGCGTGCAAATTGCTGAGACTGACAGCGTCGCTTGGGTTCGTAGCAGTCGCTAGAAAGTCCTCCCACTCGTCTACCAGTGCCTTGTGTACCACGGCAATCAGTGAAAGGCCCGACAGTGAAGGTCACAAGATTTCGCAGGCCCCTTCTAATCGGAGGGCTTACTCACAAGTCTGCTTCTGCAGGTGGTGGTTTGCCTGATCATACCAGCAACGGTGAGGCTGTGCCCCTAAAGGTATTTACTCCAATGGAACCTGTTGCGGGTCCCTCTGTGGATCAGGCCTCTGGGTTTGGAGGGGACCAAGCAGGGCAGGGATTTGTACATTGACATGTCTGCTTGCGATGAGGGGAATGGGCATAGGTTTTGGACTCTCACCAAACATATCGACTTCTACAGGCCCCACGAGGGTCTCACCTCGGCAGAGGAGAGATCACCCCCGATGTAGGCGGCCGAACCCACACATCTGTCGCATTGATTGCGCCGTTGTATTCAGGCTCGGAGGCAGTGTGTAACCGATTCCTGGACTCTCCAGGTTACATAGTTACAAGATCCCGCTGCATTATCCACCCCTTCTGGCATCAGCCTCCATTCGGGGCACTACCAGGGGATCCCTGCAAAGCGGAAGTAATTCGACCGGAGGTAGTCAGTTCGCTCACAAAGGGCTCTATACACAGGATAGAGGACCCAGCTTTAAGTCCAGGCTTTTACTTGCAAGTGCTGGTGGTTCAAAGACTACAGGTGGCTGCGCCCCGTTCTGGACTTAAGCAGATTAAATCAGTATGTGCTTCCTGGAAACAGCAAGCACCGTATTACTCCCCGTGCTCTGTTTCTACTGGTTAGCCTGCTAGATTTGAGCGATGCTTACCTACACATACTGATACACCCAATGAGTCAGCGACTCCCTCAATCTGCCCAGTTGGCCCAAGTACAGTGTGCAGCCCTTCGGGTTTTGCATGGCTCCATACATATTCACCAGAGTTGTGGAAACAGGTGGTGCTACTGCTGTGCATTACTACACATCAACCGGTACCTATACGACTGGTTGCTACACAACAAAAGCAAGGGGTGGTTAGTTGAACAGTAAGGCTAACGCATGATTTACTACACCAGTTGGGCTGGTCCCATCATCGGCCAACACAACAGTTGGTCTTCCTGGGCATGGAGTTCGACACGAAGGGGGGCTTGGTACGGTCATTGCAGGCCCGTTGCCTAAGCTACCTAGCCGAACCCCTAGTCAGCCTGTCCCTCCGAGAACTGATGTGGATCATCGGAATTATGACCTCGGTTCGCAAGGGTACTAGTAGTTCCCCCAGGCCGCGTTATGCAGGCGGCAGGCGTCCGATACAGCCCACTTTGTCACAACACCAGGCTCACTTACGAGAACTGGAGAGGCGAGTAACACTCTCGGACCACACAAGGGATGCTTTGTCCTGGTGGTCGGCAATGGCCAACCTCAGGCAGGAGTCCCCTCGAACCCACTCGCCACGGCTATCACTCTGGTAACGGATGCCTCCCCACAGGTTGGGGAGCGCACCTATTGGACGAACAAGCCCAATGAATATGGCCCCTGCATTGGGTTCAGGACTGCCATATCAACTAGCTCAAACTGAAAGAATTGCACTTAGCACTGATGCATTTTCTACCCATAGTTCGAGACCACTGAGTCTTGCTTTGCACGAACAACACAGCGGTGGTCTCCTACAGCAACAAGGAAGGGGGACAAGATACCCATCATTGTCAATCCTAGTGGAGCAAATTCTCCAGTCAAGCGGATGCACTCTCGCGGCAGCTCAGTCTCTAGAATGCAGAGTGACAGTCTCCAGACTTTCGTTGGTGGGACGGTCCAAGGTAAGACCTATTCACCACACCCCGGAATGCCAAGCCATCGACATGCACGACACTCCTGCCGACTTGGACGTGTAAGCCTTACCTTCCTTCCAACTATTCACTGGGTACTGGAGAAACTTTCACAAGAGTGCACCTGCACTTTGACATGGGTGGCGTCCAACGGGCCAAGTAAGGTCTGGTTTTCACCACTGTTGGAAATGTTAGCAGCAAGCACATGTTTATGTGTTATGGCCAGGGTAAGCAGGACAGACCAGCCTCCCCAACTTTCATTGCCAGGTGGATCACTGTGACCAGGTTCAAGCTTTTTAACTGTTTGGGTTCCTCGCGCAGAGTTTACGCGGACACCAAGAACGAGCGCATGAGGTTCGCTCGATTGCTAACTCCTTAGCTTTTGCGTCAGGTGCCTTTTTCGAACATGTGCTGAGGGCAAGCTTCTGGAGAACACAAAATGTCTTTACCACTTCTACCTAAGAGATACCCAATCCATTGGGGAGGGTCTTGTCATATTGGGTCAGGCTTTGGTTACTGACCCAGCCAGGATGACCTCAGGGATCCCTGCGCATAGGAGATAGAGTATTCTCTGCTAGCGATTTGTATGCTAGCTACATTCATTATGGTGTCATGTGAAATGTACATGGCTACTTTCAGTACAGTACCACATGAAATGTACAGAGCTACATTCGGTATGGTACTACATGAATTGCACAGAGCCACATTTAGTATGGTGTCATGTGAAATGTACAGAGCTACTTTCAGTATAGTACCACATGAAATTCAGTTACATTTAGTGTGATGACACATAAAATGCAGAGCTACACTCAGTATGGTGTCACATGAAATGCACAGCCACATTCATTATGGTAACATGAAATTCACAGCTACATTCAGTATTGTGCCACGTGAAATGTACTGAGCTACATTCAGTATTGTGCCACGTGAAATGTACTGAGCTACATTCAGTATGGTGCTACATGAAATGTACTGAGCTACATTCAGTATTGTGCCACGTGAAATGTACTGAGCTACATTCAGTGTGACGACACATAAAATGCAGAGCTACGCTCAGTGTAGTGTCACATGAAATTATGCAGAGCTACATTGTACATTCAGTATGGTACCACATGAAATGTACAGAGCTACATTCAGTATGGTGTCATGTGAAATGTACAGAGCTACATTCAGTATGGGGTCACATGAAATTCACAGAGCTACACAGTATGGTACCATATGAAATGTACTGAGCTACATTCAGTATTGTGCCACGTGAAATGTACTGAGCTACATTCAGTATTGTGCCACGTGAAATGTACTGAGCTACATTCAGTATGGTGCTACATGAAATGTACTGAGCTACATTCAGTATTGTGCCACGTGAAATGTACTGAGCTACATTCAGTATGGTGTCATGTGAAATGCACAGTACATTCAGTGTGACGACACATAAAATGCAGAGCTACGCTCAGTGTAGTGTCACATGAAATTATGCAGAGCTACATTGTACATTCAGTATGGTACCACATGAAATGTACAGAGCTACATTCAGTATGGTGTCATGTGAAATGTACAGAGCTACATTCAGTATGGTGTCACATGAAATTCACAGAGCTACACAGTATGGTACCATATGGAATGTACAGAGCTAAATTCAGTATGGTACCATATGAAATGTACAGAGCTACATTCAGTATGGTGTCATGTGAAATGTACAGAGCTACATTCAGTATGGTGTCATGTGAAATGTACAGAGCTACATTCAGTATGGTGTCACATGAAATGCACAGAGCTACATTCAGTATGGTACCACATGAAATGTACAGAGCTACATTCAGTATTGTGCCACA